CCAGGCACAGTGTGGGTGCTCCATATTACTAATTTACAATGAAAAGTTTTCTAATGCATTATCTCTATGTATTAACATGCAATTCAATGTAGTAGTTAACCTGAAAATATCCAAAAACATGTTTGACAAGGGCTGGGGATTTAGCTCAGAGGCACAGCACCTGCCTGGCAAGCGCAAGGTCGTGAGTTTGTTTCCTCGTACCGGAAAAAACCAAAACCAAAACCAAAACCAAAAACATGTTAGACATAAAAATGTATTTTTAGTAACAATCATAAAAAGAATTTTTACACATGGCTGTTTTTGGTCTGACTTTTATAAAAACAGAATTAAATTTTAAAATAGGCCTTTTAAAAATATGCCTATGGGGCTAGGTGTGTAGCTCAGTGGTAAAGCACTTGCCTAGCATGTGTGAGGCCCTGGGTTAGAGTCCCTGTACTGGAAAAATAAATAAATAAATAAGTAAATAAATAAATAAATAAAAACAAGCTTATGAAAGCTGTTTTCCTATTAGCTGCATGTTTTGTGGATGGCAGGTTCAGCACCATCACACATGATCAACCTATCAACACCCTTTGAATGGATTATAACATACCCCTTAAAAGAATTTCACTTAAAGACTGAGTCTGCATCTGAGGATTGGGTCTAAGAATGTAGACTTCTGAACAAACAGTTCTACCCTGCCTCCTGGAAAATTACTATGATCAGGAAGATTTGAGAAATAATGCTTTGAAAGCAACCAAAATTTTATCATGCTTATATGTATCATGATGCATGTATCAAGCTTTTTAATAATCTGCGTAGCTTATCATCATGCCTGTTTCTTACCTAAAAGTAACAAAGTTTTGTTCTAAATCTCCTGATAGCCCCGGAGCTAGCTGATCAAACAGTTTATAAGAACTGCTGGCAGTTAGGCTTCTATAGTTTTCCTGTTGCGTATATCTTTTCTTACCAGAAGCAGAAGAGATATCTAACAATTGTATTTAAATAAACCAATGTGTAATTTATTCACAAGGTCACACTACTTATGAAGTAGTCTTACAATGCTATACCAACATCGGTAATTAGAGGTATTTGCAAAGCTCATTATCAAATGCCTGTTTCTTTACTTTGTTTGTTTCTTGTTTTTGTTGTTTTTAGTTTTGTTGCCCAGACTGGCCGCAAACTCCTGGGCTCAAGTGATCTTCCTACCATTCGAGTAGCTAGGGCTACAATCACATACCACTTATTTCTTCAAAAATTCAGTTTAAAAAGTAGTACGTCAACTAATGTACAAAATCTCATTAGCTATTTAATGCAACTAAGAGGCAGTTATTTAACTGGCTATGTATGCATGAAAAAAATGTGCATAGGTTCATTCTAATTGATCAAATAGTAACAAATCCCTCTAAATTAAAAAAGATAAAATGAGCAATGAAATGTATTCTCACACAGATATCATGGAGCACTGAGGAAAGTTGGAACGTTTAAATTATTAGAGATTTGAAAGGACATTTTATTAGGATTAAAATCATGAACTGGTAGTCACTTCTATTTTCTAATAAGTTATTATAAGCAACAAAAGAAAACTGTAAGCTTATTAAAGTAGGCTAAATAGTTACGTAGATTAAAGCTATTTAAGTAAACTATTTAATATTTAACTATTTTGATAGTTGCAGTATTCGATGAGTTATTAAAATGATGGAGTGTTCAATCAGTTATTAAAAATAGTACAACAGTTTTAGCATTAGTAAAAATCAGTGCTAATACACAAAAGCATATTATCAAACTTTACACGCAAAAGTTGGAAAGGACTTAATACCAAACCCTTGGTTCCGCATTTGCACTTCATGGTCCCATCTGTGTATCAACAAAGTTGTAGAAGTTGTCTACATCTTCAGATGCAGTCTCCTTGTTTTCTGATACAAACATCTCGGTCCCATTGAATGTCTTATTTATAGTAAGTTGACATTCTTCCACAACACCATCTCCGTTGAACTCCGAGGCAGTCCCAGGACCTTTACTCAGAAGAGGGA